AAAATGACTTCTTCTCCTCAGGTGTCAGTGTGAAATAGGCTGGTGGAAGATATACTTTGCCATTCTTCTCTCCTTTGAGGGTCTAACTCTTCCCCGATTCCCATCTCGACTAGGTCCATCCTTGATTGCAGACCATCTTTAGTCTTCTTCGGCATGTCCAACAATGTTCCAACTATGTTGTCAAACACATTCTTCTCTAGATGCATCACATCTATGCCATGCCGAATCTCCAGATCTTTCCAGTATGGGAGGTACTTAAAGAATATGGAATGCTTCTTGAATGGGGGAGGGAGTTTATCATCTGGCTTCGAACTATCATCTTGCTTCTTACAATCCTCTGGTTTCGTAGTCTTCTCGGGTTTCTTGCGCTTTGTCCCCTTTGATGGTTTCTTAGTCACTTTTCCAAACTCGCAAACAATTTTCTCTGTCATTGCACACACTTTTTCCCCCGTTGTAGGTTTTGGTGCAGGATCAGTCTCTTCAGTGCCATCGAACTCCGCCTTCATCTTGCGGTACGTGTGATTTGTGAGTAGGAACCGCCGGTGCCGCATATACACAAGCTTGTTGGAACCCGGGAGATACCTATAGTATGTTCCATTCAAGCAGATCACACATCCTGTTTTACCTTTAATTTGACCTGAAACTGAAAACATTGCTGGATAATCGTTAATGGTCACGAAAATGATGGCCTTCACTGTGAAGTATTCTCTTAAGTACTCGTCCCACACTTTCAATCTCTCTTTCCATAAATCAGCCATATCTTCCAACAATGGTTCAAGAAATACGTCAATATCAATACCAGGCTGACGGGGTCCCTGTATGAGGATACATAGTAGTACGTATTTTTGCTTTTGACAAAGCCAGGTAGAAAGATTATACATGGCGAGAAGCACTGGCCAAGTACTATGTGAGCTGCTCATGTCTCCAAAAGGATTAACTCCATCAGTACTCAGGGCAAATCTAATGTTCCATGGGTCTTTAGCAAACTCTCTATACTGAGCATCAAAGTTTATCCACTGATGAGCATCTGCCGGGTGTCGAATCATCCCATCCTTCTTGTGCCCTTCTTCATGCCAGCGCATTAGTTCCGCATCTCGCGGATTTGAGTATATCTGTTTAATGCGGTCTTTGACAGGAAGGTACCACATCACAAGCTGCGGGATTTTTCTCTGTCTTTCCTCAGTTGTGTCAGACGGTTCTAAGCCAGTATTGCTATTCAATTTGTACCGGCTAGCACCACATGTTGGACATTCATCTAAAGAAGCGTACTCTTTCCTATACAGTATGCAGTGATTAACGCACGCATGAATCTTTTCCACATCAAGTGAAACGGGACATATGAGTTTCTTCGCTTGATATGTGCTGGATGGTAGTGAGTTAGGCCTCGGGAGTATTTTCTGCAGAAGTTCTAACAGACTGTCGAAACTGGTATCAGACCATCCATGTCTCGCCTTTAACCTCATAAGTTTAAGAACTGACCATAGTGTTGTGAACTCATCGTACAAAACTTCCTTAGCTGCCTTCTGTAAAGCTTCAAAGTTATTTAAACCTCTAGCCAACCCCATCAGCACCTCGGGTTCTGCATGACGTAATATTTCCTCTAGATCGATTTTGTCCTCAACAGAACCATCGTCGTGCACCATGTCTTCAACTTGTGTCGGAACTACATTTTTAGGCCCGTCCACTTGTTCTTCGCCATGAAGTATCCATATTTCGTAGTTGTCCATAAATCCACGAGTTACTAAGTGCTCCTTCACTTTAGAAGCATTTTCCCAGGCTATTTCATTCTTACAGTCAGCACTTGAACAAATTATCTTTCTCATATTGTTCTTCTCAGCGTGTGCCTTTGCAATACCAATAAATTTAGACACTTCATTTCTATATGAAGACAAAAACCTCGGCCAATGATACATCCATTCCCAACTTTCCATATCTAAAAACAATGAACATAAAATATTTGCACTATTAATACCAAATTTGTAGGGTTTATTGAAAAAACATATCGCTATTCAAAACTAACTGAAGGTTAATTGTAAATTAATAAAAAAACAAAGTTTATTTCAATTTTTTTTACACAGACATGCCAAATTAGTATATTAGGAAAATCTAACAAAATCATATCATCAGCATATTACAAACTAATATAATTATTTTTTGATTGCACCAAATAAATAGACATTAAAAATTTTATTCTCTCTCTATATATATGACAAGATCTAGATCTAGATCTAGAACTAGGAGGTGGATGTGATAGCAAAATAAAAAAAATTGAGAATTTATGTTACCACATTAAACCACTGCAACGGCATCAAGTATTACACATACATCTAGCATCAACATATCAAAAGAAAGTAAATTAAAAAACATGGAGCTTTTCCTTCACAATTTTGCATGCATAAATACATCACAAATTGAGGTCTAAAAGCTTAAAAAAAATGCATACCTAGGGTGGAAATGAGTAGATCTAAGCACTGTAAAAAAATCCCCCGAAGATTTGAAGTTCAAAACCTCCCCCCTATATTTAAGACACTTTAGGAGAGAGAAACTTCGGGGAGAATGAACAGGGCTCGGGGAGTACGAAGACTATATAGGGGCATCTTTGCAGGCGGGCCATATAAGCGGCGCCTGTGAAGATCGATCTTCGCAGGCGCACGTCGTCTGTCGCCTGCGAAGAGCGTCGCTTATATGGTCCGCATGCAAATATCGATCTGCGCAGGCGGACCGCCTCCTCCACCCAAGGTATGGTCTTCACCGGCGGGGTATTGGCTCCGAAGACCATACCCGCCTGCGAAAATGGAACCCTTACGACGCTGAAAATGTGTTTTATAGTAGTGGCGGAATCCGACTAGTAATTAGGATGAGTTTGTTGCTTAATTAAGCCAGACGATAATCTGGTATCGGAATTGGGAAATCAACAGGCGACCGGTCGTCCAGACGACCAGGACAGCGCGATCTATCGCTTGCTTTCCTCGGCATGCATCACCGGTCTGGATATATAGTGTGTGAGGCTGTGATGAGCTTCAGCAGAGGCGAAGCTATAGCAAATTAGAGAGGGTGCATCACTATTATATGATAGCGATATATGCTGTGTCAAACTACATTATGATGGTAAACGAAACAACAGCCATTAATTTTAGTATCTACAATTTTTGACAGAAAGTAAGAAAGAACATGTTGGTGATATGTCCTAGAGGCAACTATGTTTACATATTTATCCAACTTTTTTCCTTAAAATAGATAACTTATTATTGGATAATGAATATGTGATTCTTTCATGAGACTGATCTTTATGTTATATGTTGATATTTTTAAAGGATCCCTGATCAAATATCATATGGGGAACAAATATATTTAAATAATCAACACATGTATTGATTGTTGATTGATGATCATGTCTCATGGATCATGGTATGAAGATACTAAATTAATAATGTGGACACATGTTGGGGAACATATTGTTGCATAGACCCAACATGAGTCACTACAAGAGCTATATGTATTGTGTCATCAGTGGTCTCATTTAGTATTGATATATAATTCTTAGATCTAAGATTATCATGGTTCCCAAAATATGTAGTAGCTTGATTAGGGGCAGCTAAACGCTACTCTGTAACTTGGTAGTTACAAAAGTAGTCTTCGGGGTATGCTATGAAACATGTAGTTGGATATATATGAATAATTAAGATTGGTTTTTCTCCTCCTAAGGGGAGATAACTCTGTGCCCCTTGATGTTATAGATTATATAAGTGCATGGCCATGTCAAAGGTGATTGAAGAGTCAATCACAGATTAAATAATCTATCACAAGTCTATTAGAGGATGGCACATATCTAGCCTTGAGCTTAATTGATATCGTGAGGCAAAGGGGTTGATATCGTGATATCAGGCATTGATTGTGTCTGGTTTTAGGGTTTAAGGACGAAAATCGAATTTGGTGTAAAATTAAGGGATCTTAGATGGACTTATTCCAATACCATATGCCACCGTGTATCTTGAGGCAATGCACAAAAAATTAAAAAGACCAACCGAGACGGTCCATTGAGCTAGCGACTCGCGCGTGGTGCCCCGCCACGCCACAAACCCACCCAAGAAACTGACAACCCTCCACCGCCACAGCCGCTGCCTGGTGGGCCCCATGCACCGCTCCGCTAGCACACGGCACACAACAGCTCATAACCATCGCCTCCCTCCCCTTCTACTTAGGGATGGCAGCAATGCCCACGGGCTCAGGTATCCACGGATACCTGACCCGATGGGTGTAGACGTGGGCGAACTTAGTGGGCGCAGCCGGGTTTTACATTTCGCCCGTGGATAACCCATGCCCGACTCGAAAATATGTCCATAGTTTAAAATCCCTCGTCAGGAATCAGGCCTAGCCCATATATGAGATGGTATATATATTTCACAGCTGACATTAACCCTAACCCTATTTCTCACTCGACCACTCCCTCCCGTCTCTCAGTGGGGTGTTTGGATGGGGCCCTATTTCTCACTCAATCACTCCCTCCCGTCTCTTAGAGGGTGTTTGGATGGGGCTAAAAAAAATTTAGTACTGTCACATCATATGTTTGGATACTACTTATAAGTATTAAACGTAGATTAATGACAAAACCTATTTCATAACATTGCACTAATTTGCGAGACGAATCTATTGAGCCTAATTAATCCATTATTAACCTATGTGATGCTACAGTGAATATTATCTAATTATGGATTAATTAGGCTAAAAAAATTTGTTAAGCAGATTAGCTCTCATTTATACAATTAGTTTTGTAGCCTTATAGGTAGTCCTGGATCCAAACAATCCCTCAATCTCTCTCTGTCTCTGTCTTTGCGGCGGCACACAGGATGGGGTGGCGCTAGGGAGGCAGAGGCGACGGCGCTCGGGACCTTCGAGCCTTCTCCGAACCTTCAAGACCCCCCCCCCCCCACGGCTCCTCCTCCCCGTTCTCCACGCCTCCTCCTCCTCCTCCGAGCCCCCAGATCCGCTCCGCGCGCGTGTTCTCGCGGGTGGTGGTGCTTCTGGTCTTGGGGAGGGGAGGGGCGCGAGCGAGCGAGAGAGAGAGAGATGGCGGTGGAGAAGACGGTGCCGGGCGGGGTGAGGACGGTGCTGGTGACGGGCGGGGCGGGGTACATCGGCAGCCACGCCGTGCTGTAGCTGCTCCTCGCCGGCTTCCGCGCCATCGTCGTCAACTTCCGCGCCGTCGTCGTCGACAACCTCAACAACTCCTCCGAGCTCGCCGTGCGCCGCGTCGCCGCCATCGCCGGCGACCACTCCCGGAACCTCGCCTTCCACAAGGTCGGTCACCTGCAAATGCTGCCCATCCGCCTCCTCCTCCATGGACCTTTGTTCATTCTACTTGGTTATACGGGAAAATGCCAGCGTATTTTGGTTTTGATTCGAAACCTGTCTTCTAATTCGTGTGGCAAACTGCCACATTGTCAGAGATATTGGCTATTGGGGATTTAATACCGAGATTGCTAGTTCGCGCGCGCGTATTGCCGGCACGCACTTCGGCTCACAGGGCCCACGGCACGTGCCCGCGTCTCTTCTCTTCTTCTTTTTTTTTCCGCAGTTTTTTTTCTACCGCTGTTTCTTCTCTTTTTTTTTTTTCTTTTTTCTGCAGTTTGCTATCGCACGTATGCACGTATAGGAGAAAAAAATCGTAATTAGTTTACGAGTGATTAGTTTCCTATTTTTACTAAGTGATAGTTTGCTAGTAATTTGTAAATCTTAACTTAAAAATTTTCAATTTTGGACTTGAATGTTTTTAAATCTTGAGTTGAAAGTTTTTAAATCTCGAGTTGAAAATTTTCAAATCTCTAGTTGAAAGTTTTCAAAATTTTCAAATCTAGACTTGAAAGTTTTCAAATCTTGAGTTGACAATTTTCACATCTCAAGTTGAAAGTTTTCAAATTTTTGAATCTGGACTTGAAAGTTTTCGAATCTCGAGTTGAAAGTTTTCAAATCTCGAGTTGAAAATTTTCAAATCTTGAGTTGAAAGTTTTCAAATTTTCGAATCTGGACTTGAAAGTTTTCGAATCTACAGTTGAAAGTTTTTAAATCTGAGTTGAAAGTTTTTTCAAAATTTGATTTTAAAATTTAAATCTCAAATCGAAAGTTTTTAAATCTAGCTTAAAAATTTTTAATCTGTTAATAAAAAAATCTCCAACAAAAAATATCTTTCCTAATAGTAACTAATAGAGGGACTTAAGGGAAGGGAGTGCGTGCTAGCGGCGCGTACGCGCCAGGTAGCCGCCCCCATTTAATACATCACTGATGTCAGAAAAAAAATAGTAGTCCATTAGGGTTAAATTTGTGTATTTCCTCCGTTTCACAATGTAAGTCATTCTAGCATTTCCTACATTCATATTAATGTTAATGAATCTAGATAGATATATATATATATATATATATATATATATATATATATATATATATATATATATATATATATATATATGTTTATATTCATTAACATCATTATGAATGTGGAAAATATAGAATGACTTTCATCGTGAAACGGAGGGAGTAGTACAGATTTGTTATTCTGGCTGTGAGGCCGGGAGTTCATTACTTCAATTTATCTGAAAAAACAGATTTGTTACTCTTGCGGCAATTCTTTGATGTCTGAATGGTTGTTCAATGGGGAATTACTGGTCATTTTGACTGTAATTGTTAACCAAGAGTGTTTGTGCGGTAAGCACAGTAATCCTGGCCAACAACCTTTAAAAAACTAATTATAAAAATGAATCGTGGCCAAAACTTATTTTAAAAATGATTCTTTTGTTCAGCGCCAAGACACCTTAGCGCCAACTAGCGTAGCGCTGAATGCACGTTGGCACACCAACTCAGACTCCCATCCGTGGTGGCACGGCATATAGCGCTAGTTGACGTGGCGCTGAGGTGTCTAAATTCAGCGTCATACGATTTGGCGCTGAACAAAAGGGTTATTTTTGAAATAAGTTTTGGCCATGGTTCATTTGTATAATTAGTTTTTGCAAAGAATTAAATTGTCAAAATTTGTGAATCCTGGCAATAAGCATACAACCTTAGAACTGGTAAAGGTACTTCTGTGCTGGAGACAGTGAAGGCATTTGAGAAGGCTTCTGGGAAGGTATGCTAGATTGATGTATAATATGGGAAATTATCTTTCTCCGCTAGCTAGGTGCATTTTAAGGCACATTACTTTTCTGTCATGGTAGTACTAATTAGTATGCGTTAATTTATGTATGATTAGTACCTCAGTGCTAAGCTCTTGTCTTGCCTGTTGAGCCTTGTATGGGCTTAAGTTTTTTTGCTTAGGTGATTATTAGCATTTATTGAAGATAAAATGCTTTCTTCAGCTTGCGCGCCTTGCCAGGATTTTGCTTTGTTCTTATTTTTTTTATTGCTGTGCTAGAAAATTCCTCTTATTATTGGCCCAAGACGGAGTGTTATATCTGCATTATTTGTCTATTATATCTGCATTGTTTTTTTTATGGGTATGTCAATTTTTGTTTGCATTGAGAGTAGATAAAAAAACAAGGGTATTTTATTCTTTTTAGTTTTGTATTGCTTTGTGAATGGGTGAAAAATGAATTTATTTTGGGATAGAGATACAACTGCTTGGTTAGTATCCCAAGCCCAAGAAAGGCCTCGTTTTGGATGGACCTAAAACCCAGCCCATCTGTATGCTATGGGCCATAATTTCAACCTATCCATTATAAGGCCCAAATAAAATAAATTGTCCGTATAGGCCCACGAACAACCCATTTGACGGCCCTTTGTTCTGGCCCATTGTAGCATCCGCCAAAGGAGCCCTTCGCCTCCCCGCCGCCTCGACGACGCCGGCGACCAGGAGATCCCGCGGCGATGCCGCCGCCGCCGCAGCACCCCCTTCCGTCACCATGCCGCCGACACTGCTGCCTGCTGCTTCTCCTGCTCTCCACGCTTCTGCTCTCTTCAGCAAGCAGGTCAGTCCCCTTCCTCTGCCACGATCCACGCGGCCTCACCGTGCTGTTTCTCAACCTCTCCTTGTGTGTTTTGCCCTGCAGCTTGGAGGAGGGGAGGGTCCTCACCGTCGGCGACGAGCTGATGGGTGAGACGATGCTGTTGCGCCACGGCAGCCGGCTGTACAGGCTCGACGGGACGCGGTCGTCCGCGTGGTACGAAGTCAAGATCTCCTACCCGGCTTCCGTACGACCTGACCCCCATTGGTTGAGAAAATTAGGGAAATGAGGCATCATTGTTTCACCATTGATGCTTCTTCTTGTTCTTGAAGGCATTGTTTGTGCTTCTAGATACCGTCGAGCTTCTCGATCCGGCTTGTGGACGATCCTCACTCTGTGGAGTATTTGGGGAGCATGAACAGGAGGTTGCTCAACACGGAGAAGATAATTTTCAAGGCTCAGAATAGCTGGCCAGTATGTGCTCATAATTCTTCAGCTATATTTGTTGCTTCCCCGTAGAATTGGACTGGCATCTTCCGATGAGAATACATAATTTATAGTGGCTGTGTGATATTGATTTTAGGTTTATGTTCTTGTCACGGTGGAGCCTGAAGGGGTAGTTGCAAAGCCAAATGTGCCGGAGAGAGAGCTTGCGGTGTTCAACATTGGTATGGCAGTATGGTTCTTTATGTTATGCTTTTTTTTTCTTTCAATGATAATGAAATCGGATCGATCGAAGCAAGACAGAAATTTTAGAAACTCTAATAAAGTACCTTTTGTTGTTGTGTTATGGTAGCATTAGGTGTATATTCTCGGAGTTGGTTAGTTCTGTGTGAATCGTGATCCCATAGGATGAATTTTGAATAGAGGCTTAAGCAACCTCATTCATTTCAACTGCTGTTGTGATTATGGTTTGGAGTTTAGACATATTACCTGATCTATAACTCTTGTCACGTCCTAATTGCATATGTTGTTACCCAAATTTCTGCCTCATTGATAAGCATTCGTACCTTTTTTTTTTTTCATCTGTGACAAAGAGGCCTGAACTTCAGTTGGAGAATGGTATTTTGTCTAGTTTAGTTTTTTTGGTGGAGTTAAAATTCATAACTACGGTTGAGAAGGAACCTTGAGAAAGCTTGATCTAAAATACTTATTTAACAGTGATGCTTTTTTAGTTACTTGTCCTTTAGTATTTGGATTTCATCTACTTTTGTTTTACAGTTCTTTTGTGTTATTTCTAGCTGACTGACCAAAAGCTTTTAAATATTGCTTTGATTTGATTCTGCTTCAACTATTTGTGTTTATTCTTTGACAAAGCACCTAGTCAATCAGGAATATCTAGAACATCTTCTAGTCGTACTTGTACACCAAGACCTTGGTTGTAGGTTCCTACTGAACTTTCAATGTATAATGCAGAAACTGAAAATGTTATACCCGCCCATCCAAGGTCATGAGATTAGTATCAATCTGTAAAACTTTGGTCTCTGGTTGACCAGTTAACTGCACGACCATTTATTTCTGTTGATAAATTATTTACTTCACATTTTATGTATAATCTACTTTGGAAACTATAATAATAATTATAATAACAATCCTTAGAAGATCAAACCAGTGCCATGCTCTAAGAAATATGTCAAATTAGGTAGTTCAAGTTTTGCTGCCCTTCCTTGCTTCTGGATATTATCGCCTATACTCCTTAACCTTTCATCCGGTTCAAGCATTGAAATAACACCTTTGATCAGAGCGGTGTTTTGTTTGTATTGATTTCTTTTGTGCAGTTTGTGACGAACTTATGTTTGGGATCCCACATTTTGCCTGGTGGGTTGGAATTGGATCTCTATTCTGCATTGCGCTGGCATCGGTGGCTCCCTATTTTCTCCCGCTGCACAAGCTACTTAACTATGAAGCCACAGAACTGAGGGATGACGATGCGGCTAAGCTCTCATGATAGATGGAAGTGTGCTGAATGATACAGGCTATTGTACAGGCATCTAGCTCTTTTTTTCCTTTCCATCAGATGCAGCTGTGTACAAGTATTTACTGTACATTACAATACAATGGTAGATTCATTCATTTCAATCTTGTAAGATTGGTTCCGCGATACTTGGTTTTAAACGGAAAAGGCTATACACACTAACTTTATTTTACTAAATTCTTACTAACACTGATGTGCTATTCTATGTGTATCTAGCTTTTTTATAACTTCCACATATCTAAATCAAATGGTTGAAATGGTTGAGATGATTGTTAGGGCCCCATCGTTTGGTTTTTTTTGGCTTATTAGGGAATAAAAATTAATTTATAGGTAAAATTTTTATATATGTGTTTTTGTGACTTAAAAACCAATGCTAAAAAGAAACTACGTTTAAAATATCTCAAAATCAATCTTAAAATTAAGTTCGAAAATTTAATATTTAGCTTTTTCTTTGGCTGATAAAGCCATCTGATGGGAGCCTTAGTAAAAATTTAGTACATATAATAATATGCCCGTGCTACGCCACGGTGGCATAATATTTTGGTTAATAAATCATTAAATTTCATTAAAATAAAATTAAGTATCCTAGAATCGGTCCAATTGGGTGTTAATTAAGAGGTGACAATACCCTTAACAATACCTACGAATTATTAAGGGTATTGCCTCGCTCTCTGTAACTTTAGAGAAGTGTGTAATTCTGAAGATAGAACACATGCCATCTAGCAAAAGCAATCAGATAGTCATTTCCTTATGTTTGGCTATGGGTCCTTGTATCTGACTCACTCTAAGCTTAATGAACACCGAACCGAACATGAAGCTAGCTCTAAAAAACAATTTGTGCAGCATAGTTAAAACACTATCCACCTATAGAATATGGTGTGCAAATTGCTTTCTTTTCCAATATGCTCATCATGCACGTCGAATATTAAGTTTGATCATTTCAGATCTTTCCATAGAGAATGTTTGCTATGTTGTCACTAATGATCCCATTTGAACAAAGATAATAACTATGTTATTTTATGCATGTGGCAATTTAATTAACAACATAACAACTATATCCATCGATCTTAATTTGTATTTCTGAATGTCGCTGTGGCGTTAGCACGGCAGATTACTAGTTCTAAACAATAACGCTAGAATGATTGCAACGACCGAGATTGTTTAGTGAACACTACTTGAAAATTAAAGATCTAGCTAGGGATGCTAAAAAATAGCCACTGCGGCGGGATCTCAATTCCAAATTAAAGTTCGTTCTAACCGTGTATATATTTTTAAACAGCATTTGTTGAAGTCGTTTTTTCACAAAAGAAAATGAAATTGGAGGAAATTAGAGAGCAGCCTGTGAACAAGTCTCCTGTGTCTACACACGTCTGTTCTGAACCACTCGAGAAATATTTTATAGCTCGAGCCTGCGGAATATGCGAATGCACTACATGCAAGGAAGTCCTAAATCAACAACGCATAATAAAACAAGTGCAGTAGCTATCATACATTAAACAAAACCCTCCATGTGTCCTACTCCTACTGCCTGTGGCCGGAATCTGTCCATGATTAATGGCCACAATAAAAAAAAAGAAAGGGAAAATAGAGCAGGAGAGGAAACAGTCAGGAGGCCTTCTTAATTTGCAATATTCAGAGTTCAGACAAGGGTGGTGAGGGCTGACAGTCTGCCAACTCCCAAATCCAGCTAAAGCCTCACACATCATGTGTTGTTTTAGACACCCTCTGATATACAGCATTACATGCATGAGTGCTTGACTACTTCTTAATAGGAAACTTTGGAAAATATTCTGCTGGATATTCTATGTGCAATGAACCATTCATGCAAGCAAGCATCCATCCATGCATGCCTGCCTACCTGCCTGCCTGCATGCTAATGCAATGAAAACCATATGAGCTGAAATTGAAGTTGTGGGTGGGACACTGGTCTGCCAACCTTTGCCAAGCATTGAGGTCCATCATTGGGTCCATTTTGCCCCCACCATGTGGGTAGTAGCAACAAAAATGTTTGCACACAGGGGGAGGAATGAGTGGATGGTGGGTGCCGGGAGCACAGGTCATATGCTTTGTCTCGGTCTTGCACTCTTGCAAGCTACCCTGGTAATCTGGTTGGATAGATTGCGGATGAGGTTGCTTGTTACATCTGGATATCAGTGGTTTTTCATGGGGTCGAACTGTTTTACCTGAACCTCTTGTACATTTCAAACACCACCTAAGTTGTATGCGATACAAGATAACGTAGCATCTGCTATATTTTTCTTATGCATAGAAAATTTTCTTTGTTTCTTGTTCGGTTAAGTCAAATAGTAGATGTATTATATTAGTGATAAAAGAATTTAGATAGGTTGATATTTGAGAAATATGCCTATTTTAAATAGATATCTATTTAAGTAGTAAAGTTCACGGGTGGACCATATTGGTCTCTAAACTCTTAAAATATATTTTTGATCTCCAAACATATCATGGGTATCATATAAATCTAAATATGTTTCAACACATTTCATGCAATCGTGCAATGACATGGCATGTCATGGTGGTGTCTACGTGTCAATGAGACCCACATGTTAGTAATATATAGAAAAAAAAAATAAAAACATCTTTTTATCATCTCATTTCCTCTCCTTTTAAATTTATTTTTTCAAAATTTTAAAAATAAATCCTTTTCTCATTTCTCTTTTAATTTTATTTTTTATGTGACTGACATGTCGAGCCCATTTGGGCCTATATGACTGCTAGGACAAGTTTAAAAAAAAGGTGTTTTAAGAGTTAAGAACGTGATAATGTACCCGCACAAATTTAGAGACCATTTATGCATTTCACTCTAATTTTAAATCAGTACATGGGATTAAGTTCTATAAAACTATTAGACAAGCTCAAGATAAATATCCTATGATCTATCACATAAAACTGGCATTACTAATATAAACTAATGGTCATGGATGCGTACTAGGTACCTTTTATATAATTTTACAATAAGATTTCTAAATTTACTTTTAGATTTGAACATGGCTAGATCATTATTATTGGGGTGACATGACATCCAATTTTTAAATTTTAAGATGGAGAAAGCATATCTTAGTTTTATTAATTAAAATTGCATACATCTTACATTTAATAGATCTAAAGATACTATGATTAAAAAATGTAAATATTAATTTAGTAGATTTAGGGCTCCTTTAAAATCAAGGATTGCCATAGAAATTTTGTAAATTCGGTTTCCTTGCGAGTTTTTCCACTAGAGCAATTTGATTAGTAGGAAATGATATGAAATTTTTCATAGGATTGTATTCCTATGGCCCAATTTCATAGGAAAATAAGCAAGAAGTCTAACCAACTGGAAAACTTTCATTTGATTTTGCTTTGTTAATTTTCTATGATGTTATGAAAGGACTATATATTTATGTTTTCTATGTTTTTCATTCCTATAGAACAAAAGAAAATGCTACGTTAATTATTATGTTTTTATTTCTATATTTTTCTTATCCGACGTTCCAAAGGGCTCTTAACCATTGAAAGATGAAGACAGGGGACAAACCTCCCGTAATGATTTCGCTTGCCGCGCGAAATGAGCGTAGCTCAACTGGTTAGGTTTCTTGTGGTGGAACCAGCCTAGTCGGGTTCATGTTCTAGATTCGACACATGTGCTTGTATTTACACCTTATTATTCTTTTAATGATAGTCGATATATCTGTCAACAGCGAGATATCTGTGGTGACTTCGTCAATCTTAAGATATACCAGTCTAGTCTTTGAAGGTTCTTATAGGAGTACGTTTATAGCGATGAGTATGCGCGCTTGATGAACTGTTTTTTTTAAATATATATGGCATGGTTCAAATTGTCTCTTTTTTTAAATAATTTTGTTTGCGGCGGCACCACCTCAGAGTGGCTGGCACGTACAGCAACAAACAGCTGCGCTACCTAGGCCCAGGGATCCGAACCGAACCCCAACCCCCAAGCAAAAGCAAAGCATAGCATAGCATAGCATAGCAGTAAGGCGCGTAGGCCAATTACATATGCCGACGCGTATATTAGAGTAGAGACAATAGCAGACTATTAGCCAGCTATAAATATATTTTAATAAGATAAAAGATAACACAGAAGAGCAACGGGCTATAGATCTATAGTCAGTTGCAGCACGGACTTCAAGACACAATGTGTGTATAATATGTGGGACAATATATTAATAGTATAGTAAGCAACTATTATATGAATTAGCTATTAGATTAGATATAGATGAATTGTTGATAGTAGTGGACTATACTATTAAACTTCTCTAAGAGAAAGTTTAATAGTATAGCCAACTGTTGGCTTCAAAATCATATAATAGTTCACTATAAATATATACTACATAATTAATATCTAGTCCCAACTATCATACATATATGTATCTTAAAGTCAGTAGCTAACCTAGTGCGCTCCTTTTCCCTCTTCTCTTTTACCCTTTCGAAATGTGTTTAAGGCACAGAAAAAACCAACCGAGACGGCGCGGTCCAGCCGAGCGCAGCGACCCGCGGGTTCGGGTGGTGGTGGTGCCCCGCCACGAACCCACCCCACGGAACCGACAAACAAAGCCTCCACCGCAGCCGCTGCCCGGTGGGCCCCCACGCCGCCGCGCCACTAGCGCACACACAGCTCATAACCATCGCCACCCCTCCCCTTCCCCAACTCCTCTTCCCTGAATCCCTCCTCCTACTCTTCTCCTCCCCACATTCCCAAAGAGAAGCTTCGCGGCCTCCTCCTCCTCCACCTCCTCCGCATCCTCCTCCGAGCCCCCAGATCCGCCGCGCGTGCTCTCGCGGGTGGTGGTGCTTCTGGTCTTGGGGGAGGGGAGGGGCGCGAGCGAGCGAGCGAACGAGCGAGAGAGAGAGAGAGAGAGAGAGGAAGGGGAGGGAGAGGGAGGTGTGTGTGTGTGAGAGAGAGAGAGATGGCGGTGGAGAAGACGGTGCCGGGCGGGGTGAGGACGGTGCTGGTGACGGGCGGGGCGGGGTACATCGGCAGCCACGCCGTGCTGCAGCTCCTCCTCGCCGGATTCCGCGCCGTCGTCGTCGACAACCTCAACAACTCCTCCGAGCTCGCCGTCCGCCGCGTCGCCGCCCTCGCCGGCGACCACTCCCGGAACCTCGCCTTCCACAAGGTCGGTCACTTGCAAATGCTGCCCCTGCCCCTGCCCATCCGCCTCCTCCTCCTCCATGGATCTCTCCCTCTCCGTG